TTTTTTTTTTTTTGTGAGTTTTGTTATTTGATGATGATGATGAAGCCATAAGGGTAGAGATTAGTTGAGATGTTTGGATTTGCATGAGTTGAAGAAAGAGAAAGGAAAAGAGGAAAGGGAGGGACAAAAAAAATAAAAATTTGTTGGAAAGTGTCCGAGGTGGATTTGCTGACATGTTAAAAAATATTCAAGTTGGTGCTGACATGTTAAAAAATATTCAAGTTGGTGCTGACATGTAAATTTATAACGGAAACAACGATGCACGTGTAGCACGTGATTGTTTGACGTTAAATTTCGCCTCATTTTCTCAAATTAGAAATTATAAAGGGTAAAAATTCATGTATTGTAATATGAAGGGTAAAAACCCTCAAATTCAAAATCTTTAAGGGCAAACGGGTACCTTTTGCCAATGGTTAAATGCTTAATTTGGTCCCTTAACTTTATGAAATGCACATTTTTAGTCCCTCAACAATTTTTTGCACTTTTTTTATCCCTCAACTATACAAAATGCACTTCATTAGTCCTTCTGTTAATTTGTGCCGTTAACCATGCTTAGGTGGCATTTTTTATATTTTTTTGATGACATGGAGAGCAAAACTTAAAAAAGTGATGATATGGATAAAACTTCTGCCATGTCACATGCTACCTGGCGAAATCGCGCCAAATCCATCCAAATGGGTCCCACATCACCACTAACCCATCGATTACTGTTTTTCTTCTTGCCATAAACGTTGTTCTTTCCATTGAAATTCGACAGAACCCAGCAAATCTGGGTTCGATGTAACCCAGCAAATAGGTTCCATCAAACCCAGCAAATAGGTTCACTGAACTCAATTGCCCAAAAATCCCTCAAAATCCCTCACAACAACCTGCAATTTGAATAATCTCTTGGCAAACAATCATATAACAAAAAATAAAAAACCAGTTGCCTAAAAATACCTCATAACAACCTGTAATTTGGATAATTTCTTGGTAAACAATCATATAAACAAAAAAAAAAAGAAAAAGTGGAGCTGGGTTCTGGGTTCCGTCAAACCCAGCAGATCTGAGTTCGCTGGAACCCATTTGCGGGGTTCTATCGAACCCAGCAGATCTGGGTTTGATAGAACCCAAGCTGGGTTCCGTCAAACCCAGCAAACTAGGTTCAATGGCCTGGCCCGAGGAGAAGAAAGAGGAGGAAGAAGAGGAAGAAAAAGAGAAAGGAAGAAGACGGAATTTTTTTTTTTAAATATAAATAGTAATCATGAGTTGGCATAAAAAAAAAATCCACATCATGAAAAAAAATCCACATCAACACATTTTCAATTTGTTTTTGCCACGTCATCAAAAAAATAATAAAAAATGCCACATGAGCGAGTTAATGATCGAAATTAACAGAAGGACTAACGGAGTGCATTTCTTAAAGTTTAAGGATCAAAAAAGTGCAAAAAATTGTTTAGGAACCAAAAATGTGTAACTCACTAAAGTTGAGGGACCAAATTTAGCATTTAACCTTTGCCAAATTAGTTAAGTGCATGAATTATATGAAGTGCACAAATGACCTTAAACTTTCTCCTAAAGAAAATGTCATCCTTAAAGATCGATTTTAAGCAATCAAATCCCCTCGACTAAAACACAACAAACACTAAAAGATTGGAACTCTAACAAATTAAATTAGGAGGAAAAACATTTTAAAAAAATGAAAGTAACATATTTTTAAAATATAAATAAGATCATTTCAGTCTTTTTTTTTTATATTATTTTATTGAAACAACAATAGTTAATTTACAAAATGCAATTCTTACTTCTCGAGGCCTCACCGCCTCCAATCCAAAAATTTGACAAATCCTTCACCGATTCAATTGAATAATGTTAGGATTAAATTCAGTCCCAGAGCAATCAAGATAAGTATAGAGAATTAGCATTGCGCACCATAAATTGGAAAAAAAACTCAGGCTTCTATTGCTCCTAAATCCAGTTTCGACTTATGTTGATTTAAGTACTATATTAGAGAATGTGAAAAATCATTATGGCTGATGTATAATCATAATCACAATTACAATATATATATATATGAAATTAATACATATCAGTTTTAATTCTAAAAAAATTAGAGTTTTAACATTTAGAAATTTAAATTCAAATTTAAAATTCAGAAATTTAATCAATTTTTAAATTTAAATATTAATATTTAATAATATAAAATTTTAAATTTAAATTAAATTTTAATAAAAATAAAATGACATAATTTAAAGTTAAAACTCAAACTTTTTTAAAAATAAAAACTGATATATATTCTTCTCTATAATATAACATAAATTTCACTTAAATTTCATTTACCACAGCCTTTATTTCACCTTTTTAATTATCTCTAGTCATTCCACACATTTTATTTTTCCAAGGTTTTTCTATTCAAATCTTCCACATTATTCCATTACATTATTTATAATAAAAATTGGAAAAAAAAAAAGGTTAAAAGCATAAATATTTGCAACAATATTTAGGTGAAGCAGAGAAACTAATGAGAATGCAGTGTTCTCAGTGAAATCAGACTAACATTTAGATATGGAGTCAGAGTCACACAGCTCAGTAAAATCTATGAAAATCACACTTACCCTAAAAACAAACGCAAAAGACGAACTCTTACTCGCAAAAAAAAAGACAGAATCAACGCCATACACACTCTAACATCGCCTCTTTTGTCCACTTTAGAAACTCATCTCTGCTTTAAACTCCAAACCCTCTTACAGTCAGAAAACCTTGATGCCTTAGCGACATCTCCTACAAGACAAACCCCATTTTCCCAGACAATTCCTCGTGTTCGTATATACATATATTTTAGCCTTGTTGACTAACTATATGCTTAGGTATTTGAGCGCAACTCATCGTACTATTCCACCTCAAATTTTTTTTCAGTTTGAAAATGGTGATAGTTTTAGACTTTTTTTTATTTACAAAAACAAAAAACCAAAATGTCCTGACATATCAAAACTTCTTGAAAATCTAGAAAATCTAGGAACCCTTTTTATTTAAAAAAAAAAAGTAAAAATTTAACATAATAAATAAATATGTCAATTGAATTTGTTTTCCCTCTCATATATAATACTTATTGTTTAATAGTTTTAATTGATTAAAATTAAAAAAAAAAAAACAGTAATTGCTATTTATATGTTGAATTAAATTTTTTATTAATTTTTTTTTCTAATTTGTACCTTAACATATAGGTTAAGGGTGTAATTAATGTACCATTTAGCCATTAATTTATATGAAAAAAATGAAAAAAATTAATATTAACTTTAGCATCAATGCTATGATGTCTTAATTTAATTGGTTAGTTGTTAAAATTAAAGTCAAACTTTATTCTTTTAATGTAGTTTAATGATAAAAAAATGTATTAGTTACTTTTTTAATCTGTACCTTTATAACATATGTTAAAAAAGCTCTTTTAAAAATGGTAGGAGTATTAATTATGGATTTTTCTATCATGTATCATAACAACACAAGTTAAAAGTATGTTTGAGTTAAGAGGAATAAAATGAAAACATTTTAAAAACTTTATAATTTGATTGATTTTATTGGTGAAAAAATCTTCCTCATCTCTCTCCTTACCTTGATTTCTCTCAACCCAAACATATAATAAGGGTGCACTAATTGTATCTTTTTGCAATAAGTTTTCATGGGAAAATGTAAAAATAAACATTATTTTAAACATCATACCACACAAATGATTTTAATTAAGTAATTAATAAATTTAAAGTTAATTTTTATTTTTTTTATACAAAATAATTATAAAAATATGTAATTAATACGTTCTTAACTTATTCCATAAGACACTATGTTAGAAAAACCAATTAATTATAGTACTTTTATTTTATCTTTTATGGCTTATCAATATTACTCATGAGTCTATGAAAATACAAAATCAAATAATACTATACTAATTATAAAAAAATATTATGTAATCTGAATTATATTAATTGTATAAATTAAATAAATAATTAGATAAAATAAGTCCTTTAAAATTTAATGTTGCTCTTTATTTAATAATTTATATTTTACTGTCTAAGCTACAATATCATTGAGTACTCAAGTTTAAACATGATAATATCATTGAGTCAAAAATTAAGCTCATACCATTTTTTTTCTCTAGCGATAAGCAAAATCAAGTTCATACTCGACTCATTTGTTAAACGGTCTTGAATCCAGTCAAAATCTAAAATTATTCGACCACTTGTTTGTATCAGTAGACCTTTTTTTTCCTTTTCTTTTTTTATTGGCCTTAACATCTTTATGTGTGCCAATGCCCAAACCCCAATTTTGACTTCTCAGTTCTCAAACCAAAAATAATTCCTACCCCGGAAACAAAATTCAAACTCTTTTCTTATTTCAATCAAACAATCAATTCCTTCCATCAATAGAATCAAATAAACAACTCTTAGATTCTGCCACAGCCCAAGACTTCTTCATCACCCTTTTTCTTCTTTCATTTTCAACGCTTTGGTTTTGTCGGTGCAATAAAATTGATAGTAATTTCCAATGCAAAGCCTTCGCCGTTTCGACCACGTAACCATGTTTTCCATGCAACATGTACTACTACCATCCCTTCTTTGATTATGCCACTAGGCGGCACAACATTTCACATCCCGCCTCGCACGGCGTTTGCTTCTCAATAAATCCCTGGTCGGATTAAATTAATCACCGCACGAGCGGGTCACCGGCAAACACGAAATGAAACAAATAATTAATCAATTATTAGTATTATTAGTAATATTCTCATCGATCGATACAGGTAGGAGTTAATGTGATGGAAGTTCTATGTACTCCATTTTTTTTTCCTTCCTTTTTTGGGTTTGCATTTTCTTGATTTTCAGAATCGTTGAGATACGGATATGTGGCGACGTTTGACGATGGAGATGAGGCCTCCGAGTGGGGGCCTCATCTTTGACCTGTAAATCATCTCGTCGTACGGCCTTCTATAGAACTTCAAAAATGGCATGAACGACTCCCGAGAATTTTGCGTCTTGCTGCTGACGTGGCTCTCCCTTCGGAAGAACAAGGCCGGCGATTGGAGGAAAGAAGGGCGCGGCGTCTTCGGATTGCTGGCTAAGCTGCCGGCGTTAGTTGGGCGCTGCGGCAGAGGGGTGGATGGGAACAAGCTCTTCCTCGCGCTGAGCGGAGTACTCCTGGCGACGGGTGAAGCGAAAGAGAAGGAACGGGCGTTGAGCGGTGAGATCAAAGCGGGGCCCAGCGGCGACGGACTTGTCGGCCCGACCTTGGATGCTGACGTGTTCGTCAAGCTCAGATACCACGGCTTCAGCGAATCGAAGTGGTGGGATACAGTGAAGGAAAACCG